TCAGACTCTGGCACAGGATCGGGAACGTTGGAAGCACTGTCTGACGCGTCTGCCTCCGCGACCCCAAAGGAGAAGCGGCGATGGAAGATGAAGATGAAGGTGACTAGAAACAAGGGGACGGTATTTACGCCGCTTCAATCCGGTATCAAAAACTGAAAAAGATTTCTCATACACGGTCCAGTTTCTAAAATCAAGAACGTGCGTTTATAAATTTAATTGCCTCCCGTCTTACCTTTCAGGCAGATCACTTGAAGACTTTTTGAATTAAGTTTTAACAAATAATGAGTAAATTGTTTTGTTCTAGACAAGTTCTATTTCTCTGAAAGTACTATTATGAACATGTCTATCTGGCTGGGTATTTGATCCATCAAAATCGTCTGCTGTGAGGTTGACTCCACATAGTTATACATTTTACACGTTGCCTAATATTTCGGATCACACTAGAAACATGTTCATTGGACATACTTATTAAACAAGGGGAATGGGAGGTGGCGCAGTTAATCAGTAGTTTGTTTCGTACTTCACATATGATGGGTTTAAAACCCACAGATGACGCTAATTTTCTCTTATTAACCCCACTGTGCTTTCATACACCAGCCGTAAAACGGTCGCTGATCAGGGAATAATATGGTGTTTAGATATGGTCGTTTCAAAGCGTGCGAGACATACGCTGATGCTTTCTGATGTGTGCGCTTTCCTGTTAGCATTTACCCAACTTATAACTGATTAACAATATGCACAAAATGTAAATGTCGACTTAAATAATAAATAATTACATATATCTATCGTCCTTAATTAGTTTAATAACACTGTTCTCAAATGTCTTCAGAGATATAAAGAAAACTATTTATCTAGAGCAACTTACCGGTAAAATAGGCGACAGATTCCAACTGATCGATATAGCCGCTCATCCGGCCTTCGGTGATCATCTGAGAGGCAATTTTTTCGGCCTATAAAAATGGAGTCGTAGAAATGACAAAACCGGCAGTACTTCATCTTACTCGTTCAGCGGAAATGTCAAGCAAGTTTCCTAACTCGACAAAAGATATGTTATTATACAGTTTGCTGGCAGACAACATGTTATGTTCGATCATGGCCCGCTCTAAGAGGGATGAACCTAAAAAACGCAATACACCAAAAGAAAACAAATAAAACTTTTACTCTACCATCCGACGTGAGAGCCAGCTGATGGGGAAGCAGTTCATTCTTAAAATCTTCCAGTTCTTCCTTCCTAATGATTCGGTCTAGATACCTGAAGGGGCAAAAGTAATCGATCACAAATCAATCATCATCACCACCAATAATTGAACGACGTACATTTTCTCCAAAATGCCGTACGACTGTAACTGTTGGCAGCGTTCGTCCTTGAACAGAATGGCCAATATCCGCGACCGTTGCTGACCAGCCGAAGCAAGCACTGCGCACTGAAGGGCGCTCGTCAACGCTGCTAATCGCTCCTTCTCAAACAGCTCTGTTCTCAGCGACAACTCATAGTAGCGCTGGGCGGCGTCGAAAAACTTACGTCGAAAGTTCAACACGCGGGCGTACTGAGCCTTAAACAAGCAAGAAATATTTCTGACACATTCGAGTATAATAAGATCACGAAAGAACCAAGTATAGAGGTTAAGCTTGCTTTATGAGGCACGGCATATGTAATCTGAATATCGGATTTTCCAGGCATGTGTTTAAACTAATAAAAATATCCATATAAATAGGATTATCTGTTCAGAGGGAAGAAGAAAGGACCATAATTTATCGATGGTATTTCCCTATGACATGAAGCAAAGTAGTTGGAACGGTGTTCGTTCTTCTTCATGTACTGACAACAACCTTCTGAATCTTCTTGCCAATTAATCCAATAAACCGCTTATTTGTTGTTAATAGGGTAGACAATGTGATAAGATTTCATCATTAATGAAACGCGGTCTTCATTTTTCCCCTTTGAAATAGTAATAGGAATGTTCTTCCCCTACACCGATTTGAAATAAATAGGTCATTAAAATCCACAGACGAAATTAAGCAAAAGAAAAAAATAATACACTAATTTTAATTCTTAGTGCTTACAACAAATTAATAACACAGCACAACGTCACGAAACCTGCTTTAACGGTAGTATGCGCTTACTAATATGCACAAAAAAATAAAATCTTTTAAATGAGCTATATCTGATTCTGGACCCATTAATGAAATTGCATATGCGCTGGCAATTCATGATTTGAGGGCATCAAATCACACAGATTTCGACACTTGTAGCATTAATGCGTTTTTCTGACTCTACGGACCATCTTCAGAGTACGAGTGATTAGTAGCTACCCGCCGCATTACATAAACAGACAAAATGACTGGACATAAAGTGAGTGGCTGATGGCCATCAGATTTTTATGATCACATTCATAATCTTCAATTTTACAGTTTAATCTCTGCACTGAGTTCAAAGTTCAAAAGTTTTCTGTGATCATTTTCATAATAAAACACCGGGTCGTACATATCACAACAGAGGAGGAGTATTCATTATACACATGAAGTTTCATCACCAGAATAGGTAAGGACTCCCTTACCAATAGCCTTGACTGGTCTTTGTCAATTACAGACACATTCGACTGACTGCAGGACTGTCCTTCAGAAAGGACGTGTAGCTTAATACGATAGTTATCAGCATGTCCAAGGCAGACAGCAGATAAGCGTTCTGTAATTCGGATATTCAATTTCCGATAGGTCCTTCCAATTTAAATCTTGTCGCAGTTATACATTCGACGCTGTAAACCACGTTCACCGTTTCCTTCGGGTTGCGCTGATGATATACTTATTGAATAAAAGCATTCATAATCTCATGCTGGACTCTGTAGCCCATGTCGTTCAGGTATTTTTTGATTGGCAGAAATACCTCGGGAATAAGTAGTAAATTACTGGTGGAGATGAAACACTGCAGCAGAATCAACATCAAGCTTAGATAGAAAAAAAACTAAGTACCACAACTGGTCAACATACGTAAAACAGCTCATTCAGTTTTAAGCAGTTCCTGTAAAGCAATATACTCTACACAACAACCATGGCCTTATTCCAATGATAATGAAGCAGGGCATGAAACAAAAGCAACTGATCTGAAAATCTGTAAAACAGTGTTAGAAACTGCGCTAAAAAATATTACTAATTGGCTAAACATCTAAGGTATATCAACATGTGTGAACAGCTAATCGCCGGACCCAGACTTGGTCCAAATTTGTTGCCAAATTCTAGAATAAATTACAAAATATCATATACAGTACAATGTTAATAGGAGAGAATGCTATGCTGCCAAAATTCATACAGGAGATCATTACTCGTATGACACATTACATCCTATTGACATGAGACAGTTGTCCTTTCGTCGACAAAAGCAAAACCTACAAGTTCACTGTAGGACAATCTTCTGGCACTGCCTACAGTGGCTCTGTCTATATTTCCTCACTTTGAAACTTTGGTACTCTTTTAGTTCTATCACAACTCCTCCAGAACAACCACTAACCCCAGAGAGAACTGAAAAGAAGTAGATCTTCTGTACAACACATTTCTGAACAAACGTTCTTCTACCATATACTGTGCCGGGTGTCTTCGCGGTTCTAACTGGAAAACCTCATTGCATCCAACCTGGTGATTCTTAAATATTGAAATGCCTGAATTTTCTATCCGTCTCGACGAAGATGATTGCAAACTGGTTTCCAAATATGACCTGTCTAATTCAATTAGACGAAGATGCCTATTTTAGCGCGCATATAGCTTAAGCGTATTTCCGCATGTCATGAAACCAGAGAAACTGCAGACTTCCTTTTATCCAATTACTCCCACAAACCAGGTCATTCAGTTCCTGGAAGTAATGAACAGCAATCGAAGTTTTATTGTTATTCTAAGGCTTAAGTAACTTGAGGCTGATACAGACCGCATCGAAGCACCGATTTGAACATCCACAACACACACCTTATATTTGACCTGCATTTCATCGGATTTGCACTCAGCCTGTAACAGTGACGCTCGGTTAACATACGTTTCAGCCTTTGTAATGTCATTGTCTTCCAAATACAGCTGAGCAATTCTCAGGTATGTGCGCATCTTGTACTCCGCCGAATACTGCCTAAAATTAGAATGTACTTATATGAGCCGAATGAACCATCGCAATTCGAGAAATCACTAATTACCTCTGACCCGTTTCTAATGGAATGCCAATAAGCACCTTAGCGGCTTCCCTCCATTCGCACTGCCGTTCGTATATGTCCGCCAAGTGCTGCCGGACACTAGCTGCCTAAAAATTACGGTCACACTCAAAATTGAGTAGTTTATCTATTAGTTTACTTATAAAAAATTACGTTCAAGTCTATATGCTCCTATTCAAGCAGCAAAAAACATAAAAACAAAACAAAAAATCAATCGAAAATATCTTCTGACTAAAATTTTCCCAAAGAATTATTTTGCGTCGAGTGACATGCTTCCAAAGAGTTGTAAAAACCTTTGGATTTTAATGCATTTAGTCATTATACAAAAAAGTTTGTGCGACGCACTTGCGGGTCGTTATTGATGGTGAAGCAATTGTTAAAGTCAGATCCAAGACTAAGCAGCTTCCGTCATATTGAATTAGTTATATATCACGTCACTAATGAAGTATTCTCAGGAGGTCCTCTGTACCACCACCGCAACCTTGTCCTGTAGAACTTCCCCGCGCAAAAC